ATTGTAACTGCTATACTTGGTTAATGACTGGTACACTCTTAAGAACATTAATTTGGATTGTGTCAGCAAATATTGAAATACTGGTATTACAATATTGCAATCCTATTGTTTAACCAATACAAAATAATTTCAAACAGTAAAAAAAAAAAAAAAAAAAAAACAATTTATATGAGAACTAAGATTTGTTTAATATATTTTAATATCAAAATACATGTGTGCATTGCACTATATATTTATCAAGGTTCAGCAAATGGTGTAGGTCCATGTTATGTGGTCATCTGATCAGAACATTTCAATTCTTCTTTTTTGAGATCGATCGAATACTCCCATGTATTAAGACCAACAACAATAAGCTTAACATCGTCCACGATTTCAAATAAAGCATCAATCATATCGTTGCATTTTTCTCTTGTACCATTTAGATTTTCAATGTTGCTACGAACATTGGGTAGTATCTGTTTGAACTCCTTTTGTCTGTCACTCATTGCCGCACCAACAGGTTTAAAAAAACAATGAATTTCAATAAATATTTAAACATGCTAGAAATACAAATTGCATTATAACTGTATATATATGAAAATAATTGGATAATATAAAGTTAAATTCCAAATAAATAAGTCAACAAATAATAGAGAATTCATACTATTTTTTGTTTAGTTTTATATTACACAAATTTTTATTACCTTCTCTCTTGACTCCTTCCCATTACAAGTCGTTCCTCATTTGTAGAAAGCAAAGAATCCTTTGCTTTCAGATCCGAAACAACAACGACTATAGAATTCATGACCTCAACCAGCAAATGCATGCCTTCTTTGATTTTTGTTTTCACAGTATTTATATCGGTAACATTCTGGTCGATGTTGCTCAAAATTTGTTTTAGGTCTCCTTTTTCTCCAGCCATTATCGAACCAATTAAAGGTAAAACCGATAAAGAGAGTCTACAAACGTATAAAAGTTATAAGAATAGAAATGTTTCATTGATTTAATAAATTATTACATCTGGAAAACCAACAAAGAAATAGTAATAAATAAGTATAATAATAAAAAAATATATTCTTCGGATAGTTTCAAAAGAAACAATAATATATATTTAGTTAAAGTCCATTGTTTCATACAACAGTTACAGCTTGATATTAGCATAACAATTTGTTCAGTAGACCAATTATAAGAATGTTATAGTTCAATGAATGATATAATGTTTATAAACACTACCAAACTTAATTAATATGAAACCGTATATTAAAGTAATTTTTTATTTTACTTTGGTTGATGGTTTTATATTAATTAGGTAAATAGTTTATTAAGTTAGTAATGACATTTTAGTTTTTCATTCCAATTATATTTCACCGGTTGACTTATTTGAATTAAGTATATTTCACCTAATTTTTGCAATATCTAACAATAATGTTGTTCAGGGTACTCGTAAAAAAATAAATATTATTTTATTAAAAAATGCACCTGCTATTTCAAAAACATCGGTCCAACCGGTTTTCTACAGTCGGCAGATTAATAGTCATTTATGTTTTATTAATATATTCATTTATCCGGTGTTTCTTTATTTAACGCATTTTCTATTTCTTTAAGCTGTGTTCACGCCCATTGTCTGTCGAACACGTTGCCAATGTAATCGTTTCGACTTTCTCTTTTGTTGGTGCCAATTTTCTTTCAAAGGGTTTGAAGCTTTTGTGTCGAGATCTTCTACATTGCCGATTTAGTTATTGTATATCTTATTCCTCTCTTCAATACTGTTCTTTGTTTTTGGTAGTAGTTTCATTTGTTTGTTTGTGTAATCTATCGTTAAAATTTGTTTAATGTTATAGTATACAGTTGTATTTGATGGGCATTTCTACCAATTGAAGTTATTTCTACGCAATTATAACACCTGTAAAAAAATTTGAGTCAAGTGTTATTAAAAATGAAAATCTAGGTTTACCATTCATAAGAAATCAATACTTGAAGGGTCACAAAAAAATAATTTGTTACAACAATTTTTAGAGAGAAATTTCTTGTTTCAGAATTTACATGTTTGAGATAACGATGTTTTTTTTTTTTTTTTTACTATTTGTTTTTCTTGTTAATATATTTCAATTTCGTATTTGATTTGCTTTATTATGTGATCTTAGTAGAATGGACAAGACGAATCAATCATCAAAGATGGTAGAATCACAAACAGAGGTGAAAGAAAATGCAAAGAATTTGTCTCTGAAAACTAAACAGAAGAACGTTGGTAGAGGTCTTGGTAGGCACTTTGCAAGACTTCAAGGAACAGTTGTGAATACTCACAATGATGACATTCAACGTGTGATAGAATTGGTGGTTTTCACTAACAATGACCAAGAGGTTGAACTGCAATCACCTCAGTAGATGAATGAGGTTGAACCAAGTAATACTATTGAAAATTTGAAAGGAAAGGTTGACTATTTGATACACGTAATAAAAAATCAGCAAACTAGATACATAGATTTGTACTTCGAATCCCAAAAGAAGGTATAGAGATTCTAGTAGAATATCATTCGCTTTTCAAGATGATTTCAAATGATATATCTATTTAAATACTGTTAATGATTTTAATGATTTTGTTTTCACTCAAATTTAGGTTGAAACCTTAACAGAAGAAAATCATCAGTTGGCTTTGAAGCTATAAAATGCATCTGGAAAAATTGAAGCAGTATGACTTCTACACATTATTAATCAAATCCATTGTTTTATCGCTTTTATAAACTCACAATATTTTTATAACAAAATAAGATGTCTTTGCACAAAGTATATTTTATATATGAAATTGGTGAAATGAATTTGAACACTTGAGAAGATAAGAAAAATCGTGTTTATTTTGTTTGCTTGCAGATAGAGAAGTACACTGGATTATGTCTGGAATTGATGAAGAAACGGAAGAACACGGTCTTACTAGCAAATTTAGTAGAAGTTCAGGATACAGTCAATGTATCCTCTCAACCAGCGCATGAGCAACAACCTTGTCGCAGAGGTGGACCCCCATTGAGCAAGAGAGGGAATATTCACAAATGAAGACCCAATTTGCTTATGTATTTAATCTATTCAGTATGAAATGAATACTTTATGAAAATTTCAATGTTGTTTCTTTTGAACTGCTTTTATAGTTTTTATGTGAACTTAAAAAACGTTTGGCTAGCTTTTTTGCATGAATATTGCAATGTTATGTTGTTTCTTTTGGATTGCTTTTATAGTTCTTTTCCTCTTTTATGATACCCCTAATATGTTTGTATAAAAATGGTCTAATTATATTTTCAGCATTATCTGCTTGTACAATTGATATTATATTTGCAGACATGTTTTTGACATTCGATGTCGGTATTTTGTAGTGAATTGTGCATGATATTTAATATTACCTGGATATTATGAAGATCAACTATTTAAACTTAAAATTTATACCGATCTTCTATAATTTCTGTAACTTATAATAATTTTCAAGTTCGACATTGTCTACTAAAACTTTTCTCACAACATAGGATTCATATATTTCTTTAAAATCAGTAACCTCCAGTCTAGTTCTCAAACTAAACATCTATTTACTTCAAAAACTTTGTTTGTTTAATAATTGAGAACATGATAATCCAATTAATTCTAGATTACTATATCAAATAACATAAAAGTTACTTTCGCAATTCTGTCAGACATACTCACATCTACATTTTCCCTGTTATAACATTAATGAAAAATTTACTAAAAGTAAATGGATAATGTTCCTATTGCCGGACCAACCATAAATATACGTTATACTTATTTTATTCATTTAAATCAGTAATAAAATTTAATAATTTGAAAACTATAATTGATTAGAAATTTCATAGTTTCATTATTATTTTATTTATAAAAAAAAAGATTTTCAGATATAAAAGTATATCGAACTATTAATGTTGTGATAATCTATCTTAAAAAAATTGTATTTCCTCGATAATGTATTACTATCAATAAACTATAATTCAAACAAATCTCATCCCATAAATAAATATTGACATAAAATCACATGAATTTTAGGAATAGCATGCATTTAATTCTTTCACAGTAACATCTATGAAGTAATTCACTATCTACTTTGGCTCAAAATATCAAAACTAAACCATAATGTTTTATACTAATTGTAGTAAACAATATGTCAAATCTAGACTTATGCACGATTATTAATCACATTTTTGTATTTCTTTTGTTGTTACACGTTATATAATTTGATCATATTTCATATTCCAAGCATACAACTTGATTGTTCGTAGAGTCAAAGGTACAATTTTGTTATTTGCGAATGAAGGATGCGATATATATATATTTTTACACGAAATAGTTTATTCACTGTTATATTTATTTATGTTGGCATCCATCAATCAAGATAAAACATTTTCACAAATGAAGTCCCAATTACATTATATACTTAATCGATCAAATGTGACATGATCAAGACTTCAACTTTTTTTTCGGGTTGCTTTTGTAACCCTTACTGCTTCTTTTAACATTCTCATCATCGTTTTCTTTCTGCTCATTTCCTCATTCCCTCTCTTTCGATGTGTCTAACATGTCTGTACAAGGAATCTCTATCTTGTTTTCAGCGTCATTAGCTTCTACTATTGCCATCATTTTTCCAGACACGTCTTTGATTTTTGGTGTCTATATTTCATATTTAGTCACATCTGACATCGAGGATTATGATCCATATTCTCCATTATTTGCCTGTTGTTTTTTTACAAAACATTGATATCACTTCAATATTATGAAAATTAACTATTTAAGAATAAAAATTATATTGACCTTTTGCAATTCTCGCAATTTATATTCATCCTCAAGATTCTCATCAATCGAAACAACTTTCGTCACAGTATAAGATTCGTATCCTTCATTCATATCCATAATTCTCAACTTGATTTTGAAAATAACATCTGTCCAAACAACTCACTTAAAACTTTTGGGATATTCTTCTAATCATTACCTTGTTTGTTCAATAGTTACGAACATGATAAACCAACCAATCTCTAGGTTACTATATCAAACAATATAAAAGTTGCTTCGGTAGTTCCATCTGACACTCTCATATCTACCTTGTACCTGTTATAACATTAACTAAACATTGTTACAAATAAATGTCTGAAATTGAATATACTTCTTATTATTGCATTGACAATACATAATTATAAACAGTAAAAAATAAACAATGATATAGCTCATATGAGGAGATTTCAATTCCTTGTTGCATTTGTCACAATATAAATAGGTATTAATACCAGGAATTTTTTTCTTGCAATAGGTGTAGGGAATTGTAACACCAACCATATCTATCATCAACTTCGGTTAACTTGGCCTTAATTGTACACTCCATCACCTATACAATTGTAATTTTTGTTCACAAACTATGTTATAATAATCAGTTTAACGTTTGAATGAATACTGTACCTCATCAACATCATGTCACACGAGATTGGTAACATGTTTAAGTGATGTTCTATTCTCAAAGATTTCCTTCTCAATCGAAACTCGATTCAAAATCTTTTTATGTAATTGAATTACTGGCAGAATTCCCATTCTGAAATAACAAAAAGTAGATAAAATGTTAAATATCATTCTATCCATGAAATTACTTTAAAAAACTGTTTCTCAAACACATACTCTTTCTGTAGAGAATGCACCTCCCCAATATCTAAATTTATATAAATTCTAGATGCTGAAGTTGTATTGAGATATAATCTTCATGTATGAAAAAAACATAAGTTAGTAAACGAAAATATATTAATTTCATGTAATATATTTTTATTACCATGGAAATCTTTAACATTCGTTGAAGTAACTATTATGACAATTGGGTTGGTACTTGTTGATTGCAAATCTTCACCTATTTCTTCTGAAAACTTTCCCCATAACGTAATGTCAACTGCTTCTTTGAAATTAATATCAGTGTAAATTATTTAAAGTGGAAGATAAACATAAAAATATTAACAAAAGAACTTACTCTGCCATATGCAATCTAATGTCTTTTTTTAGTCTTTGTTGATTTGATCTCTTCAATTTCTCCAACTGCATTCAAAACTCTAATGATATCTGCATATAATTTATCATATTTGATGTACAAAAATATTTCTCACGCATTTAAAATATAAATATTCAAATTAACTATACCTGATAATAACCTTGTATCGTTTGTTATATTCTAAAGATCATGAAGACCAAAAAATTCAAATTTATATCTTGGAATAACAATTCTCGGTTCTTTTATTTCTTGTACAGTCGTGATCATGAGAAATTGTATATCGTATATACCTTCAATGGGTCTGTAAGAGGGAGCAAATGATATGACTTTTATATGTCTGATCAAATATATTGACCCTTCATGAAGCTGATTTTTAAACTTTGCAATCCAATTCTTTGGTATCGAGGCATGCATAACTTGATTCTTAAAAACCAATGAAAACCACAAATTTAAACAAACCTGTATAAATCAGAAATAAAAGTCTTAACATTATTTTCAGACCATATTTTATACCTGTTGATCAATCAAAATCATGTCAAGACTCATAAGTTCGTCACCCATTCTGAAATTCCTACACTCTGACAATCTAGATACTTTGACAGTGACTATCCAATCATCTCTTGATTCATCAATATCTTTAAGAAAATTATCAAACATTGTTATACCTTGCCTGCAAAAAGAAATTCATCCTTAATACAATCCAATAAAAGCAATAGTGATTCCCAAGGGAGATTTTACAACTAAAGCAAATGTCGGTGTATCACAATTATAAATAAATAAAATAATGTTTCGATTTTATAATCTAATTAATTTAATAGTATGCGAAATTTTTTGTTCGGTACTGAAATTTTAAACTCCAAAAAGAACTTACTAATTTACAATTGTCACTATAATATTGTTCGTCAATTTCTTTATTACAATTCTATAATATTATTATACGCAAATTAATAGCTTTTATAGATGAATTCATAATCCAACATATACAACATTACAATAGAAGGATAAAAACAATTAAAGGTATCAGATTACCTGTAACAGGAACTATATTTGAACTATGCCAGCAATTTGTTTGTTTGTTTGTTTTTTTTTGGGGAACAATGATCTAATAATGTACTTTCAAGTACCTTTACATATTGCTCTTAATAGTGTACGACAACATAAACAACTACATATATATAACAAACACATTAATTTCAAGAGTTTTACTTCAGATAAACACTCTTCACACTTCACATTAATTTCACACTAACAATAATACATAGCAAATACAATATATTGATCTCCTTCAGATAAATATCTATCCACAAAATTGTATAAACTTCAATAACACTTAATAAAAAACATAACAATAATAACAAAATTATTTTGTGACATAAACAGTACCATTTAGATAACAAGAGCAAAATCAGCTGCAAGTACTCTTAACTATCATACTTCTGCTCTCCCTCATCAAGTCTACCTTACAACAAGTCATAATGTAGTTGAATCTGAACCTTCTATAGTAGCTGAAGCTCTTGTCAGCTCTGCCTGGACAACAGCCGGCAGGTTGAATTTGATGCACTTGTGCATAACAACACTTGGACCTTTGTCTGTTGAACACCTGATATGAACATTGTAGGGAATAAGTGAGTGTTTAGAACCAAATACAATGTTGATGGCACATTGCAAAAGTATAAAGCAAGATTGGTAGCTAAGGTTTTTCAACAAACACTTGGCTTAGACTATTTTGAAATTTTTAGTCCAGTGATTAAAACCATCTACCATTCGGATTATACTTACCCTGACAGTAATCAATTCTTGGGATGTCCAACAAATTGATATGAACAATGCATTCTTAAATGGAACCTTGAATGAAACAGTGTATATGGCACAACCTCTTGGATTTGTATCAACTGCTCATCCATCATTTGTTTGCAAGTTAAACAAGGCTTTATATGCATTAAAACAGACTCTTGGTTCCTTGAAATACTTCATAGGCTTGGAAGCCAACAGAGGGTCTACTGGAATACATCTTAAACAAAACAAATATGCCTTAGATTTGTTAAAGAAAACCAAGATGATGGATGCTCATCCTTGCTCCACACCAATGGCTATTGGTACAAAACTATTTGCTAGTGATAGTCCCTTATTTGATCAACCAAAGCTCTATAGAAGCACCATAAGGGCACTGCAGTATTTGACCCTTACAAGACCAGATATTAATTTCCTTGTCAATCGACTGAGTCAATTTTTACAAGCACCGACTGATCTACAGTGGCAAGCAAGCAAAAGAGTGCTTTGGTAGATCAAAGGTACTATATCCTTCTTCAATTCAAACCAGCAAGCACTCCTCATCTTGAGTGCTATACCAACGCTTACTAGGGAAGTAACTTAGACGATATATGATCAACTAGTGGCTATTGTGTCTACCTTGGTCCAAATTTGATTTAGTGAAGCTCCAGGAAACAGAAGGCAGTGGCTCTCTTTTCCACTGAAGCTGAATATAGAGCTTTAGCTCACACTGCCACTGAAGTGGCATGGCTTCAGAGTATGTTCTCTGAGTTAGGGATTACACTTCCTCACACTCCAATCATTTGGTGTGACAATGTTAGTGCAGGTTCTCTAGCCGCCAATCCCGTGTTTCATGCAAGAATGAAACATATTGAGATTGACACATATTATATACGAGAGCAAGCATTAGCTAAAAAGATCAATGTTCAGTATGTGCCTTCTAAATTGCAAATAGCTGATCTTTTAACCAAACCATTATTTGCTGCCCAGTTTTCCGAGTTAAGACAAAAGCTAAGTGTAGTTGAATCTGTTCCTCCACATGCATGGTTCAAATCTGTATACTAGTGTTAGCTACTTGTTGCTCATGCTAGTGTTCACTCAGTTCAACTGTTATATAGGTTGATTAATTGCTACTTCAGTTCACTTGTTCAAAATACAATCAGTTCAACTGTCATATGGGTTGATTGATCAGTTCAGAGCTTATTAGTGTCTACTGCTTGCTACTTATCTTGGTATTCAGTCAGTTTAATTACTATATAAGTTGATTAGTTGATGGATCAGTTCAGAGCTTTGATTAATTCCTACTTCAGTTCACTTGTTCATAATACAATCAGATTACAGTCATACAGAATGTAGCCAGATTATATGTTTTATATGTTCAAATTGCTTTGTATTGCAGTCTAGATTGCTGTCACAATTTGACTCAGTTGATTTGTGATTAAAGATTACATACTTGCTCCTCTTATTCTACAGGTTCAATTCATCTTACAGTCATAATTTGTTCAGTTGCTGCGTGATCAAATGTTATAGACTTGGGCTATAATCTGTGGCTCAACGATGTTGACATCAATGTACTGAAGCTTCCCAGTTTGATTTGAGAGGAAGTGTTGATAAAGTAACGAAGCTTCCTAGTTTGGTTTGAGGGGAAGTGTTGGTAAAAAGGGATGAGAATGCAAACAAGCTGAGTAGCAAGAACAAACTGAACTTTGGCAAAAGTGATGTCGTTTTGCCAAAGTTCAGTCATCTTTATTTCACAAAAGAGAATGCAGATTGTTAGAGAATGTAGTTTGTGGGTTATCTAAAATTGTATACAAGGGAAAGTTATTCCCTCTTTTAAAACTGTTCAGAAAAAGAATCATATAGAAGCAAAATTCGATTTCTCTTGTCTTTCTCTTTGTGTTCTCTGAACCCTTGCCATTGTTTCACAAAAGCCACAAATAGATTCCACCAAAAAGCGGGGAAAGGCTCAACATCTTTAAGAGTGACTTAAGAAATTGATCAGCATACTCACTTCATCCCTGATAACATGATGAACTGTTACTTTGCTAGTTTTCAGACATTGTAATTTTGGCAGAGGAATGTCCAATACTTCATAGTACAATATATCAGAAGTCTGTCCAAGAACATGATGAGAAAAAGCATAATATTATATTTTTCATTAAATTTCAACATCCCAGATTAACTAAGACCACGAGTACTACCTGGTTGTAGTGAATCAGCATATCCACCAAATGATCAATGCCATGGTACTTAATAGGTTGAGGTTTGGGTTGCTAAGAGTAGCAGTTATGTGATGTAAGCCTGATTTTGGATGCATCATCCAAATTCAATTTCTAAGCTACTCTTTCTACAACATCATTATACGTAAAAAGCTTTGACCTTGACATTCAAAACACAATAGCATCAGATACAATTACTCGGTAACGTACATATACATAATATAATGCACAATCAACAAAGATAAATCTGCAGCAAAATTACAGAATTCAACATCATCTAATATTAAGCCCTTACATCTCTAGACAAAAATCATCTTCCTTTGGCTTTTCAAGAGATCGGAAGTGAACAACCACCTACCACACAAAATCATGCAAAATTTAGCAAAGTTAAATGATGAGTTGATGAATACCAATTAATTATAAAAACAATAAACACAATGTCTAGGGATGACAAGGAATATGTTCACTACAAAAAAGCAAAGAGATAAATCACAAATGTAGGGAGATTGTAAACCAATAATAAAACAAAATGAATATCAACGAAAAGCTTAGTTTTCTGAATACAATAGGAACCATGGAGGTGTACTCGTCGATTATGCACATAGTCCAAAAATGAAGGAACATCTGAATAGCGATATTGTTCAGCACTTTCAACTGTATGAGATTTTTGAAAGCAAACAATATCTCCATCTTGAAGCTGCAATAGAGACAATGCCAGAGTTAAACATTATCACAAGGAAAACAAATCACACCATGTCTGTTATGCATAACATTTACCTCGCTAGCTCGAAATGTATATCGACCATCCTCAAAATAATGCATAACCATGCAAATTTAAATATGACATGCTAACTGATTATCAAATAAACCAACATTCCAATGCAACCTCTAGAATGGACTTAAACCACAAAATCCTATAACTAGAGATCTCAGCTCTTAGACAACTCAACTCTTCGTGGTCCACATTTTTAAAGGACAATATTAAAAGTCAACCCTTAATACATCAGTCACTCCAAATAACCAAAGCATGGAGAGACAGACAAGTGGACCTGAAACGAGTTGCATACCAGCAAGTACCCTACACACTCTAGGGCAGAGAGCACCAAATTATCATAATTTTATGCTCACAGGCAAGGATGACATTGGCTTCAAGTCCAAGCATAACTAAAGGAAATCATCTCCGAAACATAAGAAATAATATAAATCTCTAAGGGGCCACAAAGTATTAGCACACCCAAACTTTAAATTTCATAAAACGGTGTGATTAACTACTTTTAACATATATTTTTTTTAAAAACACTGAAGTTGCTTTTTTTGCTAATTTAAGACCATTTTTCCTTAAGAGAATTTTGAGTGCTCGGATCCTTCTTCTTCTTTTTTTTTTCTCCAAATACAGTACTAACTACATTTTGCATTAACTTATTGAAAATAAGGTTGAAATACTATAGCAATCCACTCTTTAGTAACAACAATTGAAGAGAAACCTATCCTTTTTGCAACTTTACGAATAAAGTAATGGACTAAGAAATTCTTAAACCACTCAGCTTGAGTTCGCCACCGTTCATTTAAGGCTTCTCATGAAAGATAAGCAACAGGAAACAAACCTCATAGAGTTTAATTTCTTCATCAGGATCATAGCCAACCATTTTATTTAGTTTTGCCAAATATTCCATCGGATTACCAGTACTCTTCACAAAAGGCCTTCCAACATAGCTGTTATCACAGAAAAATAATCTCGAAATCAAATGCAGTTATTCCAGAAGAGAAAAAAAAATTCGCTTATAGACACAAATGTACAATAGAAAACAACAAAGTACCATAGTTCTTCTTTCTCAGGGTCATAAAGCTTAAAAAAAAGTAATATATCTTCCTTTGTGTTGCCAGGTCGAGCAATAGGTCGTAAATCCTGAACAGAAAATACAAACGTAAATAACATTTATTTTGATTGGTAAGCAACTCTAAATTAAATGTTTTTGAGGGCTGTTCAGCTTCAGGTAATTTTGGTATAATCATAACTGTACAGATAGCTATAGAAATTAGCATATCGACTTTATACCAGTAGCCTCACTAAGAGATGCTACTATTTTATTAGTGGACACCTGCCCACATGTATCCATTACTTTTTATCAATATAATTTCCATGTTTCTTTAAAAGTAATAGAAATGACATTAATAACATCACTTAAAATATGATGATAGTTCAAGGAAGAAACTAGAAAGCCTAAATAGGAAGGAAATAATTACCAGTCCATGCTCTACTTCCAAGAACAACTTCAACTCCGTATTATGAACCTTATTTGATGACTTTCTCAGCTGCCCAACCTAAAATACCAAGATAAAAAAAATGAAACTGGGCAATGCATATCTTCACCTCCTCAGGCACTAAAACCACTAAAACAAGTGCCCAATTTATATAGTAAAACCATTTGGAATAATGAACCCCCAATGGCAAAATGGAAGGAGACATTGCCAAAGCTGATAACAATTCGATACAATATTGCAGAAATAAAACATAATGTTGGAGATAAGCAACATCAATTATCTCATAACAAATGCATAGCAAAATTGAAATGTATATTTTCATATAGAAAACCTAAAACATAAAAACTATAGATTTGTGATAGCTACCACAAAGTGTTGTACCATTAGCAAGAGCAGAAAAAAAAAAAAAAATACAGTGGATGGGAATTAGCACATACACTGAAACAGATGGTCAAAATAATAATGTCGAATAAATGAAGAACAATTATCAAAACAATTCACTATTTCTTCCAAGGAAACATATGGATATTAATTCACAGTGAAATTACAAATCAAACAGGATTACGTATTTGCCTAATATAGACAATTGCAAGCAACATATTAGTAATGGCCCAAAAGAAGAATGTTATAATTATTACATCACAAGGAGTCCCTTGAACAAATTTGGCGTTGCCCAAAACTAAACAAACCTACCAAACAACTCTTGAAACAGTAACTATAAGGTAGTAATAGCAAGCAGAACTACTTACAGTTTGTGTTTCCTCCAAAGGTGTAAATGGCCGATTAGGGTCGTATGTATGGTTCTGGCACTTTGCCCGCAGCCAAAACCGCTGAAGTTCCACTGGAATACCAAACTATTTAGCAACCTCTTACTGCACACACAATCCATCACATCGAGTCTGTAATACGATAAAATTTAGCTACCCGGCCATCCCAAGCTTCGATTTAAGAAAATGGCCTTGAAACTGTTTTTCATTTTTTTTAATCTAGAGAAGATGACGTGGTATAGTTAGGATTAACTAAACACGTAAAATGGGTTAAAATGAAAAGATTAAAACATATGTGGGCCAAATAAGAAATAATAAAAGTTTTTAAAATTTGAAATTTCTCAAAACAAGCCCCACTAACTATTCACCTCGCTTAATTGAAATTCATTAGGGCAAAAAACGATTTCTTGAACCAAAGGCAGACAATGAGATTTCCGATCAAACCCGCAAATTTCCACATCATATTCAATCGTAAACTCAATTTCTTGAACCCTAAACAGAATATAGTCGCGATTTCCGGTGATAAGTCACGATTTTCGATCGATTTCTTGAACCTTAAAATCGATTTCTTGAACCTTAAATGAAATCTGCGCGATTTCCGGTGATACATCCCACATTTTCGATCGAAACTACAAATTTTGACACCAAATTCAATCCAAAACCATGGCTGACACTCACAATGACGAGAAAAACCCAACGCCACTTCGAATCCTAGATTTCGGTGGCGCAAGCAGTTCAATGGCTGCTCTGGTGGATCATCCGATCAGTGAAGGTGGTCCATAGGCAGAAGAGACGCCAACAGCACAAGAATAGAGGGAAGAATCGGCAAACGGTTCTGAAGACGAGGAATCAAGTGAGAATTCAAGCCAGGAGGAGGATTCCGATGAGAATTCAGGCCAGGAAGAGTCTTCCGAGGATTCAGGCGACGAGGTGGAGGCCGGCAAAGAAAGGGTACATTCTGAACTATCGCTTAAGCGATCATTTGTATCGCTTAAGCGATTAACCTCTTTTACTCATGGTTGCATCATCTGCCCAGATCTAAGATCGCTTAAGCGATATAAGCAATTGATTCAGTTGACTCTTGGTCACTTAAGTGATATTTTCGAGACAGAATCATAGATATAAGATCGCTTAAGCGGTCTTTTGTGTCGCTTAAGAGATTCTTTCAGTTTACTCTTGGTTGCTTAAGCGATTTCAGATCGCTTAAGCGATCTTGCACGAGGCAGAGTCAAGATCTCTTAAGCGATCTCGCNAATTGTATAAAGGTGTGCCTCTGCCTTTTCTTTCTTCTTGTGCTCTTTTTCTTCTTGTTCTTTTTTCAACCTCTCCTGGGAAAAAATCATAAGAAGTTCTGAGACCAACTTTCCAAAATCAAACAATGTGAAAGCTCAATATACACAGGACTCTCTAATGAAAGAAGCTACTAAAGCTTAGCTTGAAATCAGCTTAAACGAGACTCTTTTAAGATTGTTCTTGGTGCAAACAATCCAAGAAAAGTCCTAATGAGGAACTTGGCCAGGATATAGCACAAAAGACCTTATTCAATAGGCTCCTTTCCTCTAGTTCAGCCTACTTGACATCAAATATATTAGCTTCATTTTTGATTTTATACATTTCTGAGATCATTCATGTAACGCGGTTTATTAGCTGCTTCAAATATATACAAGAGCTGCTTCTTACCCGAAGATGTTCTGCAATATCCTTCTCATCCACATTACATATTATCTTATCCTTGTCACTTTCCCGTATATACACCAGCATGTATGCATTTGAGTACTTGGTAAATTTAAAAGGCGTGTTGTTGAATCCAGGATTTGTCTGTGGTAACTGTTAACTCATAAGCGAGAAAATAAATAACTTCATAAGCCAGTAATAACATATAACACTGAATTAAAAAAATAAATAAAAGAAAGTAAACAAAAACCACCTCCTCTTCACCACCATATTGCTCTTCTAATGCCCTTTTCATATCTTCTTTTGTTACCCTTTCATCATCAAATTTATACCTGAAAGCCATTTAACCATCTAAGGCAAATGAGGTAACAGCATAATTGCTCAATCATGATAACCTTAGAAAGTTACCACATAGTAAATTATACAATACACACTGGGAGTCATAAAAGTTCAAATAAGAACAAGAGGATGCACAGCAAGGATCAAGTACAGCTCGTCTTTGAGAGGCAACCATTAGAAAAAGGATATCTTAATTTCCAAGTAATCCTAGTTTCAGTAATTCAAAGTTTCTCTTCCAAATCTCTTGCGACATTCAATGTACGCAAGCTTACATGATTAAGTTTGAGAAGGCATTTGCATAGGCACTCAATCAGTTTTCAATTCAGAATGTTAATTTAGGTACTATTTTACTTTTGGATGTAGAGGGAAAACTATAATTCCTGCAATCCTGCATGTTAGACGGATTATAGGAATTTCAAAAATAAGTTCACCTATTAGTCCTTTGTTAAGCCTTTAGATTATTTGAACTAAGCCAACTAAATTCTAAAACCTACTGATTTTAGGAATCCTTGTCCAAATAATGATCACATTTTTTATAGAACTCAATGTTCAAGTACAGTCAGTAAAAGAACTCTTCACATTATTGTTGATAATTACTGTTCACAACAACATGAGTTAAGACTGATTAGACGCAGGAAACAAGTTGCAAGCACACACATTTACATTTGTGCATGTTTCTATGCAATTTTGCACATGTTAGGGAATGAAAACCAGAAATCTGAGAAGACATGAATACCACTGATCAGAAAGAGTAGGTCTGATAAAGGCGTAATAATGTCCACCATGCACCCCACCACTGTGAACCAAAACACTGTACACAAGTACAATTACATAAGCACAATACAAAATGAAAAACAGATGTAAATAACGTCAAATTCTATAAATTGTTGGGCATCAAAGCAACAAAATTATATGTGGGTGGTTAGTTTTGATCCCAGGACTCCATTAAGCATTACTTCCATCATCTTTATCAAGAAAAACAAAGATATATAAGCATCATGAAAAGGAGATTTATGGCAACAGAGCATAGTTTCGATTACAGTATTCTATTAAGCAATATACATCAATTATTTATCTTTATCTTCTTCACTGTCCTTCAAAAAGAAAAGCTTCCTTCACTTAAAAACCATGTAAATGTAAGGGAAAAAGTAGCACCAATGTGACGATTAACACAACACACCAGTTTGGCACACCTGACATAATTTCACTGAAACAAACAATACATGTGTAAACTAATAACAAATATATTACCACAAAAATCAGCTTATATGATATTGAACGTTCACTCAGAGACTTTAATCTGGAAAGAAAAGGTCCCCAAAAGTATATCTTCAAAAATAAAATAATAATAACAAATATAATAGTGTAGGGGAATCTAACAAAACATGAAAAAAAACACTTTGATTTAGTCTCAAAAATAACAAAAAATACATATACCTTAACAATCAGTGAACCTTGAAAAAATAAAGCATCTCAACCATTAACACATAGAACGGAATTTCAACAGGTCAAAGGTCAGCTAGGTGATTTGAACGAAAAAACAATCTGTGATATTTTCCAAATAGCTCAACACTGAAAATAATTATACCTGTGCAGTGTGTAAAGGTTGCGAACACTCCTATCAGCTTCAGGAGACAAATATTTGCCATTCTCTCGATCAAGGTCAAGTTGCAGAGGAAACTCATAACGGTCATTAATCTACAAAATAAGAGAATAAAGAAATTACAACTCCGAATCAAAGATAATAATTTTATAGTTCCAAATAGCATAGTTACAAAGGAAACCAATGATTAGTATGATGAAATACAACCAAATAAAATATACTGAGCCCAAGCAACTGGATCATTACTGAAGAAGACAGCTATAGATAAATCTAGCAAGCAAATGCACATTGAAGACAAATAGCACTTATTTAACTGTCAAATTCATGCAACAATATTCACAAACCACAAAAAAAAAAGGAATAGTGGAAAGAATATGTGTGACAAATACTTCTTGAAGAAAAGAAAGGCACAATCGCCTGATAGCTTATTTTGTTCCCCTCCAGATGAGGAAAACAAAATCTAGGAATCGACAATGGTAAGATTACAGGACTTGCAATTATTAAGCCTTCACCCCTAGGCCAGGTATGACAACTTCCTCAATGTTTTCACATTACAAAGATTTCAATCTAGAAAGAGTCCATATAATGATAATGGGCAATAGGTCTTTTAGTAAACAAACTGTTCACAAAAATAATGGATCAGCTAAAGGATCACAAAAGGAGTTACACAGTATAGACTGAAAAACTCACTTAAAAAAACTCAAAAATTAATGCCTATAGCACAAACTAAAACTCCTTCCCAATTTACGTGAATAAAGAAAATCACTATCTTCCTATTTATTCTTTATTTATTAATGTATTTAGTTCCATGTCTCTAATAATGGAAAAAGGAACAAAGAAAATAGACATATTGAAAAGATTTTGAGACCTAAGCGCAATGAGAAGTAAATGGATTTTTCCAAAACAAAATATCCGTACCTTCCTCACATCATAGATAGAGTAGCCAAAAAAAGACAACTGCATAAGATTTTGGCATTTTCTCCTTCACCAATATAAACCTCATTTATTATATTCTCCAATATGTTTCATAACAGTAATCTAAGTGTGTATTTCTAAAAATAAAAAGACTGCACATTGAGACACTGTTCATATGAACGTAAAAGGAAGATAATTATTAATTTATGGCCATGAGACATGCTTTGTTCATAAGCCATACTTCGACATTATATATTTAGTCTTATCCATAATCAGGTCAAAGGAGGTGTCTTAGAAAGGGACAGAGAAACAGGTAGGTACAATGTTTATTATAGGATCTTTTAGGTAACCAGCATTAAATATTTTTACTAAACTTTTATAGCTAACCCTTAAAACATTCCTTTGAAAACTCAGAAGCAGATGACTTTTTTTTCCAAAAACAAAATAAGGAAATTATTAAAATAGTCTAGGAAAATTAGAAGTAAGCAAAATATATATTTAGTCTTATCCATAATCAGGTCAAAGGAGGTGTCTTAGAAAGGGACAGAGAAACAGGTAGGTACAATGTTTATTATAGGATCTTTTAGGTAACCAGCATTAAATATTTTTACTAAACTTTTATAGCTAACCCTTAAAACATTCCTTTGAAAACTCAGAAGCAGATGACTTTTTTTTCCAAAAACAAAATAAGGAAATTATTAAAATAGTCTAGGAAAATTAGAAGTAAGCAAAATATATATTTAGTCTTATCCATAATCAGGTCAAAGGAGGTGTCTTAGAAAGGGACAGAGAAACAGGTAGGTACAATGTTTATTATAGGATCTTTTAGGTAACCAGCATTAAATATTTTTACTAAAATTTTATAGCTAACCCTTAAAACATTCCTTTGAAACATCAGAAGCAGATGACTTTTTTTTCCAAAAACAAAATAAGGAAATTATTAAAATAGTCTAGGAAAATTAGAACTAAGCAAAATCCCCTTTTTTGTGTGTGTGTGTGGAGAGAAAACATCAAAAGAAATATACTGATAAAAGAGAAGTTACAAAAGAAGTAAAAACCCTTCAAAGAGATAAATGTAGCTATACAAAAGCAGCTTAGACCTTGTAACCTTGTACCACTACTTCAAGCACATCCTATTAATTTACAAGATAGACTATTTGAGCTAAGTACAACTGTTTCTTTTATAGGAAACAAAGTATATTATAAACAAAAATTATCAAAAAGTATAAATGAAGTGAACTAACAGACCACAAAGGGATAAAAGAGAAAACCTGTAACTTAACATGGTGAGAAAATAACAGTCGATTAAGTATATTTTCTTTTAACATGCACTTGACCCCACCCTTCCCTCATGCACAAACTCAAATTAAATAAATCATATTTGTCATATTAAAAGTAAGCTGTATTCATTATTATTTGTTATAGTTGTATCCAATCCATATTCCTTTTGCGTAAGGAAGCATAATACAACTTCCTATCAAAAAAATTGAGGGATAGAGCTTAAAATTTGCCCATACGTATGAACTTAACTTTGAGGTTGAACAGTCACTTAGCAAAGACAACCAAAATATTCTGGGGAAAAAAGGAAGAATGATAGAGAACACAGCCACGTGTTGTTTGGAGAGAGAGAAACGGTAGAATTTTGAAGAAAAGTAATCCAAATGCCCTTTTTTTTTCTTTTCTTTTTTTTTTTTTGGGAAAAGAATGTATTTCATCTCATTCTGGCTATCTTCAGCCATTTCAAAAGGACTTCTAGAAGCTCTTTTTCTAGGAATTGTGAAAGTGCTGTTTAGGACTCAGATCTTTGTTTACTTTTTGCCACTGTTGTTTTCTATCACATAGTTCTGTCAGTATGGAATAAACCTTTGTTTCTCCTTTGAAAACTCTTGAACTGTTTCTCTACTTCCAATAGAATATCATTTCATATATTGAAAACAGCAAGTGATTAATGATAACTGGAACTCAAGACATTCCAACAACACTTTCACAGCTAGAATAGAAAATTTATCATTTTTAATTGCTTCAAGAAGAATCAAGTGTATCATCCATCCCTCTAAAAGATGATTGAATAAATAATCAATTACCTGCACTATCAGGAATTTGATTTACGCTATTTCATGTTCCCATACCATAAAATCTTTGTAGTCCAGAGATTCAAGCTCAGGAAGCCTGATGACAACAATAATGAGCCTATAGTGTATGATACAACAGCAGCACATCGACAATGAAATAGCAGAGCAGAAGTTGGACAGTGAAATTTTAACCAAAGGTTATGGATCAGCATTAATTAAAGCCAAAAGATTTCTGTGCTTTTCTAACTGAACAATGTTTAGTGTAAGTCATAGAACACATGAATGAATATAATAAAGCCTTTTATGCAAAACTTGCAGAGACAATATAAAAATAATGTCACAGATCAAAATTGGATATCAGACTGCTAACCTTCACCATAGTGTCCCGCATAAAATCATATTCAAATCGTTTCAGCTGAAGTTGAAGAACAGGGGGGAAATCAATGAACAACACACCCTTCTTAGCATCCTGAAATGGTATGACATTCAAAATACAATCAATTGATAAAAGAAACCCATGATAAATCATAAATTTTCATTCACAACTCTAGAATAAAACTACCAAACACATCCAACTCTAACCTATCAAATAAAAACTATTTCTCCAGCCAAAAACAATCAGCCATGCCATACATTTAGAGCTAATTAATATTATTGCCTCCCATAGGGTGCCTCTATTCTACCCAGTTATTCAACCAATTTTATTTTAGAAGAAGTTGGACCCATGATATAAAACTAAGATTTACTGAGTCTTAAAAAATAAATAAAAAATAAAACCTCCAAGATGTAGGAAATAAATCAGAAAGATAAGCATACTGATGGATTAATTTACGAAAAGAGAATAAGAAAGAATATTCATACACATTCAAACATTTTTCTCTATGCTAGCTTTTTTGTACACTAATTCGTTCCTTTTCCTGTGAGATTTTGCTACTTGACAATACATTTTCACCTTCTCATGCTAATTAAAGACTTTTTCAAAAACAAAACATAAGAAGTGCTTGTTTAAAACCTTCAACATTTTATCGGATAAGTAAATTAACTCAATAATGGTTACAAAAAATCTCCTTATGGATGCATTTGGCACGTTGCACAGAACTAAACCAACTATTTAGATTGAATTGCATTGGATTAGATAGGACAGAATTGGAAATTACAGAGTTTAGTTAAGTATAGTTTTAGACAACCCATGGAGAAGGTAGAACACGTTTTAGTGCACCTCCTTTTGTGCAAACGTTGCATTGATGTTATTATACTCAACAATTACTATTCAAATCATATTAATTCTTCGATTTTATCATAAAGAATCACAAAATTTAATAATCAATTTTAATTAATAATTAAAGAAAATGTATACTGTTAATATTTACTTTAAATAAATATAAAATAAATAATATATATATATTTAATCAGTTAGATGGTTAATTTTGAATTTATTTAACACAGTACAGTATTCAATATAATCTAATCTTTGTTTAATCTAATCCAATCCAATACAATCCCAAGTAATTCATTCTGTCAAACACAGTCCATGTGCTCTAAAATTTTGAGCTTTGGTTTTCACTTTCATGAGACAATTTCTGCAATACAACAATGTAGCCAAAAATGAAAAGAAAAATAGTATGTACAGTAAGTAGTTTACATTGTAATTCATTTTCCCATGGTAAAATTACTACTGGGAAGACAAACGGAGCCTAAAAAATATTTCATATTAGGAGCACTGCAACAATCAAGCAGTAAAACTAGGCACTGATCACAAGACTAACCTGTAGCCCATATTGTTCAGCATGATACTTGTTATCGCCTTCAAGACGTTCAACTTCTACATACTTATCAAAAGAAGCGTAAACATCACGACAGCCTTTGACATCAAGCTGAAGATCTGCAAGACATTTTTTATTTTTTGGAAGTGCCACAAAAGTACGTGCAAATGAGCGATATGGAACAGAGGAAGAATCATTAAGATCTAAATCAGATATATAAACAGATACCATAAAAGGACTCCTTTCTTGTTGACTTGTAATCCACATTGATGCATTCAATATAGTTCATATGATGCCCTTCAAATAACTGCTGTATAGTGCCCTCTACAACTGTTCCCTGGCAATGAGTTACAAATAATGCCAATTTTTAATTAGATTTTCCACTAAAAAATAATGAATTCAAGGAAACAAACAATGTCAAGGTCATCACCTTCATTTTGTCCTCAAGTTTTTCACACAAAACTCTATTAAGTTCTTGTACATCATGTTGCATGAAAGAGTCATATGTGTCCCATCCAAACGATTTGGTCAACTCCTTTGTTGCAACACTACTGTCACTGTACTGAAGCTTGTAAAATAAACTCTGCAAAGCCAGAGGAATGCTTCCGGATGGCATATCATTCTCTGTTGTTGGCATGTGGTACACAGCCTGAAGTGTAATATTGTTAATTCTTCCACACAAATTCTGGTCAGACAAGTCAAGATGAGTAAGAAGGAAAAGTTAACCAGAAGTGCTAACCTTACGGAAATAAGGAATATGAAACAGTGTCTGTAGAAGAGAGTTCATGTAACATGTGGCCCCTTGGTTCTTAAGGCCAACATAACCAGTCTCCTTTTTTGAGTCATATGTCCAGTAATCTACAACCCTACGAACAATAACCTCAGCTTCAACTATCAGAGTATCATTCACAAGATACCCTCTGTTAGGATCATAGAGTTCACCAAGGGGCATAAAGGATGTGAAACCCCAATCACTTTCTCGTGCATTGAACTGGTGTTGAGTATCTGACAAGTTCAAATGGTAAAGTTATCACATATTTCACAAGAGTGCCTAGCATCATGCTAAACACATCTTTTAAAACTAAAGGTTTGAACACCATCTTGTTGTGGAACAGTCCAACCACTAAAAATAAAATTTATACAATTCACAAGGTCCAAATTGCATAGGTAAGAAAACAGACAAACCAAATGAGATACACGGCCACAACAAACAGATGTTAACACAAAAACAGAAGGCATGAGAAAGCTGAAGGCACACATTCAACAATGAAAACCCGTGCTTCCCAATCCCAAGTGGCTCTTAATGCCCATTTCAGAAAAATGATGTACAATACAAAGTTCAATCCATTGCAACACCAGTATTCTGTCAAAGATTAAATTTTTCCCGCCACGAACATAGTTCATACGGTAATTTAAAAAAAAATTGTCCTTTTAAATCAATGAAAAGATAAGAATGTATATTAACATCAGCTTGAAAAAGCTTTAACAGGGTAAAGTGGACAATATATCCTCAAAAAAGAGCCAAAAAAATTGGGGGCAACAAAAAGACTACAAAAAACAGCCCACAGCTTCCAAAAACTGCAATAAGCACAAAAAACAATCTCATTTTTTTATACAACCAGAACCCAAGCTACATAATAAAGCTTCCAAAACCCCTTCACAATTTAGGATAAATGAAGAAAAAAATGTAAAATGAAAGAAACAAATTTTCTCTGATGAACAATCCTCAGGAATTTCAACAAAACTAAAAAGGCATTACTATAATTCACTTGGACACTGTTGTAAGGCATCATACAATAATTTATGTACAGGACACAAACAAGCAGCACCCTTCCGTCCATTCCATGCATTTCAAACATTTTGCCAGGCGAACACATATTGCAGCAGTCTTAAAAGCAAAGCAAGCCTTTAGTCTTTTGTTATCATCAGCTGATTAGCACATTTAAAAGTGATGAGATACATATTGAAAGGAAGAAAGAATGACAAAGAGAACCTAAAAGATGAGTTTTTTTTTCCAGCATATATCATCAAAAATAGTGAATCAGGAAAACATACTACTAAGTGGTATTTCTTTCATCAATATTTGGTGTATGAAGAAGCAATAAACATCTATATATGCTTGTAAGTGCTAATAGCATAAAGGAAAACCCAACTTATCATAACACCCCACAAAATGCAACATGGTCACAGTTGAAAGTCCAATCTACTAAGAAAAATACTTCTAGAACCATGCCAATCTCAGTTCAGTGAAGTCCCCAAGTTTTAGTAAACACAGAATTTTTTTTTTTTTCAAAAAGCAGAGCCGTAAAATACAATTCAAAGCTCAGAACAAATTGAAAATTGAAAAGCATATTACGGCTTATCAGTACTCAAGTAAGTTCAAGGATGAATTATGTTCAAATTTTTGGATTAAAAATTTTATAAGAATATAAACTAGGCCGGGTATTTGTTGTTTCATACAAAATAACAACAAAGATAATTAAACAGGATAAAATTCCGTTTGAAAAAAAAAAAAAAGGAAAAGAAAATGTCAGACTTATCCAACCCAAGAGAGAACCCAAAAAATGGACATCAAAGTGTTGTTTCACCTAACATGGGTTTCAGCAGCACACTCAAGAAAGGCTCAAAATAAAAAGCTGGGGATGGGCGAAATTACAGGAAATCAATAAGACAAAACCCCAAACCCTCTTTTTAATTTATTTTTTATTTTATTGTTCTACCATATAAATATATATGGATTCGGATCCTTTAACTAGAGAGTTTTTACTTAAGAACTCGACTTAAATTTCACTCATTTGTTCATCTTAATCCAATGTTGCACAGAGTTCGTAAGTTGTCAACATTAAATATGACTTTTTGACTTTTGATTTTAACCATAGGATTTAAATGAATGAATGCAAGAAAACTGAATTTAAAGGATTTAAGTTAAAATTTCTTATCCCCAAATATACATACCAAGTCCAACTAAAGGCAGAGAGAATATAGTGACACAAAAAGTCAGGAAATTAGGAAGAGAAAGGGATGAAAAACAATTTCCATCAACAATATGCATTCCTAAATCTGAAATTGAATAGATGAGAGGATAAAATACATGAAATCTAAATGGCCTTTTATAATTTCCACTAATAATGGTTTATATGAAAAAGAAAAAGTATGAAAAAATAAATAAGCGCGCTCTTATCAATAAGTTATAAGACAGTTCTAACCACACAGAATTTTTATATATTCACATATTTAATTTTTTCTTTCCTTGCTTTCCATGGCTCTACAAGCAAACAAGCATAATTTGACATATATTATAAAATATAAATGCAGTGCATAAACATGCACGTGTCAAGATTTTTAAGAGTTGTTAATATCCCCAAACACCCCATATCCATGTAGCATGATGATTTTGTCTTTATTAATAAATCATAAAGAAATGTCCAAAAAACCACTGACACATCCTAATTACAGTGGTTCCAGAAATGCAACCACAAGGATTCCCAGAAATTCATTCCCAACCCTCCTCCCTCTTTATTTTCTTCAAACCAGAAGTTACTCCTTCATATGTTTTTGGCACATCAATTCCCCTGAAATTGCAGACCCCTCAACTCCAATATAATAAATACACACACATACATAAACATACCAACGGTTTGAATTATGAAACAAGCTGCACTACTCATGCTTGGCCATAGAACCCAATCAAACTTTCATTCATTAAAAATTTGCCGAACAATGTTGACTTTCATAAAAGAGGGTACCTTTTCTCACCGAGTACTTGGTATGAATTTGATTAATCACCGCCAAGCTAAACTGAGCATATCTACTCCACCCATATGGCAAACTTCCTGAATCAGCAACATCTAGATACATAGACAAGTGATCCACATTGTTCCCCTTTGGAAAAATAAGCACACGCCTGCCAGTGCAATGCAGAAAAGAAAAAGCATATAAGAAACATTATTGACCATCAATGCTTCTTCACAAAAATAACCCAAAAGAAAGAGAGTGGTGAGTACCATTTATAACCGCCGACAATGAAAATCTCCGAGTAGTGCTTCTTCGTATTCAACCTAGAAAAGTTCTCGACTCTCCATGTAAATCTGGATGATGGAGGATCCTCCACTGGTTGATTCTCCACAGCATTAGCAGTTTCAGGTTGTGCCACAACTATTAGGGCAAAAACAAAACACATAAGTTAAAACCGTACTCCATATTGTGTGCCCATAACTAGAATCAGAAACTACATAGTCAACAACTTGACTAAACCATCCAATTAGACTCTAAAAGAAGACAAAATAAGATACTAAATATATACACTAAAAGCCAATGTCCTGTGTGATTATGGAAGTTAATTTACTAAATTCATATTATTGCTATTACTATTCTTTGACTTATATCAATATCATTGGAAACCCATCAAGTAATTCGATAATCAACACAATCTAATCGACCAAAATAAAATCAGAATTTACTCAATGACATAAAAAAAGGCTAAATAAATAATATGATACCTTCCATCGGCTGGTGATTGTCAGCCAAATCCGAGTGCGGCACCAACATCTCCTCATCCTCTTGTTGCTACAATAACATTTAAAAAAAAAAAAAAAAAAAGTAAAAAATCATAAAAACGTAGAAACCAAAAGAGCCTGGATCCACTACAAACACCAAAACCCTAACAAAAGTAACCAATTTTTCACATCATTGCTCATTATAAGTTCATCCAAAACCCTTCCGTAACAAAAACCAAAGCCCTAGATAGACCGGAAAACAAATAAAACCACAATTACAGCACAGAAATGAAAACAACTAATTGAAATACATACAGCGCCCGAACAAGATTTCAAGAATTCTCAAATAGATAAACAGAGTGTCAAACAAAGAGAGATTGAAGGACGGACGGACGGACGGACGGACGTACATCAATAGGAGCAGTAGTCATGACAGTCATGGTGTAAAGAAGATAGGGAATTGTGGGGCGACGTCGTTTCGCAGCAGAGAGAATGAATGGAAACCTAAAAGAGTAATTAATTAGATTATACTTAGAGAGAGCAAAGGAGATCACCAGAAGGTGGTCGACAGAGAGAAAGGTCCTGCTTAGCGTGGTCTTTATTTGGAAGAGGGGCGTTTACGGAATTTCAGTTTGGGTATATACAGTACAGTAAAGATCGCCGAGGAAAGAATGGGTGCAAATTAATATTTAATAAAAACATCATATAAATCCTCGGAGGTTTGATTTAAATTAATCACACCCCTATCTTATGGATAGCATCATAGCAATTTGGCCCGTACACTCAACCTCTTATGAAATGGGATTAGGACAAAAATCACGAGACTCGGAGAGGTGGAGTCATTTATTTCGTTTTTGGGTCTGCGTTTGGGCCTAGAAGCATCCGCCCAAATTATATATTCATCCATTTTTTAATATTTCTTTCTAAAATTATTGAATTTCTTTGTAAATTGTAATTACATTTCATCTTTGAGATAGCTTCTAATGACATTTTTTGAACAAGTAATTTCATTATTTGTGTTGTGTGTGATTTTTTCACCAAGCTTGGGCTACTGCGAGAATGTAGCTTGACCTAGGATCAATCCGACTTCACCGATTGTTCGACCCAATATAAATTTGTCAACATATAGCTAAACCCAGTACAAGCTAGTCGCGAACAACCCAAATGATCATTCAATCAATTCACAAATAACTTCAGATATTAGATATTGCGAGAATGACTAGATCAATAACAATCTCTGTGCAATCACAACGCCCAATCACAAAAATATCAAAAATTTAAATTTATTATTAAGAAAATAAAAATTAATGGAAAAGAAGCATTTATTAACACTAGAATATTAAAAAGAATTAAAATGACCTTTCGGACTTTTTCTTGAGCACAAATTTTTTAATTTTAGTCCTCTTCTTTTTGGAGAACGAGACTGTACTGAAATTTGTCCCACTGCAGACACGGCTAGTCTTTCTTCAGGATTCTTATAAAAACAATAAGAAGGATGTTAATCCTATTTTATCAATAAACCCCATTATTGATTTAAAAGGGATATGTAATTTTGTATTTGTTTTCTTTCTCATGGCTCATGCAACTATGTTTGTAGACAACTTTTAATTTTTTTTTTTTTTTAAATAATCAAGATTTCATCAAACAAACACGATATTTTCTAATTTAATTTTTCAAAACTAGATGCTTGTGTTCTTATTAAGTAATTAAGATTTCATCATGCAAAATAAAAAAAATAAAAAATCTCAATTTAATTCTTCTCTTGTCATTTTCAGTATTTCCGTTCAAGTTAACATATATGAAACTTTTGAAAAAGTCAAACTTGTTCTTGTTTGTTGATGCGTAATTTTTACACCAACGAAACGCACGTGTAAAATGCTGAGTTGGCCTAGAAGACACACGTGAATATAAAGGAAAATGAGAGTAAATACAATGGAGACAACTTTTAAAGTGGTTCGGATGCTAAGGTAGCAAGTCATACGTCCACTGATGTTTTATTAATGATAGGGGTCAGGTCGCATTAGCTGACTGACTTACAAATGATTGTACAAGCGAGTGGATGCTATAAATTATAGAGAGAGAGTAGCTAATTAAGAGTAAAAATGTGCCAATCCCTTGAATGAGAGAGGAACTCTCAATTTATAGTGGGATACCTTAAAGAAATGATTATTGGATCTGTGAGTTGGTGGGATTATCTGTGCAGATCCCTCTTTATGTCACATTGCCCACCTTCTAGAGATATTTGCGCGATTTGGAGCAAGGATTAGACACGTGGGGTCACCACAGCTCCTGGCTGGCCTGGCGCGCGTCCACTATTCTGACAGAAGCAAGCTGTGGGTGTACCCATGCTCTGACTTTCGCAGGCTGACTAGACCTTACGTCAGCCCTATATTTCTCAGACATAACAGAAGTCCCCTAGTTTTTAAGGTTTGAGGATCGAACCTTGGAAACTATAAGTCATGCCGCGATTGGATGATCTGAAAATTCTGGTGTTTCCGACCTGTTTGAAATGAGGTCGGGGTAGCACTCTTTGCGAACACGACCTCACATGGTCATTGCTTGCTAAGGATGAGCGACCTGACTTCGTCAGGCGTTACCCGTCGTGCTTTTGGTATGGGTGCATTTAATGAAGCAGTCTCTGCTCTGACAGACGTGTCTTGCGTGTGATAAGCGCCAGCCAGGCGCATTAAATGCGTTATATGCTGACACGGTATCACTTTATCAGAGCATTAAATGCGTGACATGCTAAAACGACGCCCCTTATCAGAGAATTAAATGCAAATTGGGGCGTAATTAATGCTATGAGAGAGAGAGTGCCGTCGTTTGAGTTTTTCAACGGAAAAGATGAAGATTTGATCTTCTTCAATCGTGGCGATCACTCTTTCTCACTGATCTGCGACACGTGGTCGTGATCAACAGTGAGAAATATTTGCCGCCCAAACGTCGTCTCGCGTGCTATGAAACTCAAATCTTTCTCAGGAAATGTCACCACACTGTCTTTTTTACAAAGAGCAAGAGATTTTCGCAAGCTTGGAGTCTTGGCTTTCCAAACCAGCGTTTTTCTGATATTCAAAGCAGAAGCCATTTTCGTACTCCGAGAGGTAAGAATCTTTCCCTGTTTTTGTTATTCTCCATGGTTGGTAAATGGCGTTAGTCTTCCGGTAGCTAATTGGAGACGAGACGCTCATATCGGGTTCGAGCCATGAATGGCGGCTCGAATCATGCTGTTGGGGTTTTCTCTAGGTTTTAGAGAGTTTCCTTCCACGTCATCGTACGGAGTAGCGTACGATGGCTAAATGACCCCCCCCCCCCCCCCCCCCCCNTTTTATAAAGTAAAATAATTATTTTAATTTATTTTTTTCCTACTTCCCTCTTTAAATTACTTCTGCATGGTTTCTAGTTTAGGAGCTATCTCATCCAATGTTCTGAAACCCGAATCGGACAGTCTAACCGGGTTTCGTCAATAATTCCAATTAAACAATTACTTAATTAAATTTCTAATCATTTAATTAAGTATTATGTTAATGTTTATGTAGTAAATTAACAATTACTAATGTTTATAATATAATGTTATAATCAATTAAGTAATTATTTAATTATGTAATGTTATAATTAATTATGTGAATATACTATAATGTAATGTTATAGTGAATTAAGTAATCATACTATAAATCTTTAATGTAATATTATAATTAATTAAATTTTTAATCATTTAATTAAGTATTATATTAATGTTTGTAATGAAATGTTATAATTAGTAATTAACTAATTATACTATAAATCTATAATGTAATGCTATAATTAATTAAATTTATAATTATTTAATTAAGTAATATGCAAAATATTATAAGTCAATTAATTAAGTAGTAATCAATTAATGTAATGCTATAATTGGTTATACTATAAATCAATTAAGTAATATTATAAAATTATAATTAATTAAGTAATTATTTAACTTTAATGTAATGTTACAATTGATTAAGTATAATATTTAACCCGTAATTAAATTTATTAATGTTTATCAATTTATCATACATAATTAATTAATTGCTAATTTATTATAGATATATTTAGAACTTGATAATTGAAGTAAATAACTAAATATATTATTATTAAATCAAATATACTATTTTATTCAAAAATGATTTTTTTAATAACGTTAAAACACTTTTAATTGGATCCTAATTCTAATTATAAAGTTAATTAATCAAAACTTTAATATTAATATATTATAATATATTAAAGTTTTTAATATGGTGTAGTTTATATGTAATAAGTATTATTGTATATTTATTTAATTAGGTTATTCTAAAATTTTAACTTTTTCTATTTTAAAATTTTTATATGTAAAATAATGAAACCCCCCAGTATTCACAAATATTTCATTGGAGCTCAGGTTCCAAAATAGGTTCCAAACAGGTTCCAAATCAGGTACCCGCTATAGGTTCCAAGCAAGTTCCAAATTGGGTACCCATTTCAGGTTCCGATTCCGGTTCTGGTTTCTCCACACATAAGAACAGGAACCGGAACAGCACAATGTCGGTTCCAATAAAATGGAACCAGAACCTACCCGCAAGTGCCGGTTCCGGGTAGGTTCCGGTTCTACCCGCTACCCGTGCTCACCCTTATATGTTATTGTTTTAAAAGGCAAAATCCTTGCCTTTTTTGCTTCAGCCTTCGTTTCTTTAATTTTCATTTGTTTCTTCGTCTTTTTCCGGCTTCCAATCCAACTTCATTCATCTTCTCTTTCACCTTTATTCATCTTCAGTTAGATTCGAGCTTAGAAAGTGAACAAAAAAAAAAAAAAAAAGATCAAAGGAGAAGATCCAAAGAAGCAGAAGAAGAACGAAAAGAAGAGGATAGGGAGAAAGAGAGAAAAAAAATAAGATGAAGAAGAAAGAGAAGAGGAGATGAAAAAAGAGAAGAGAATATGGAAGAAGAAGAAAGAGAAGAGACGGCGAGAAAGAGAGGGAAAAAAAAAGATGAAGTAGAGAAGAAGAAAGGAAAGATAAGGTGACGGGTGAGAAGAAGAAAGAGAAGATAAGGTGACATACTGAAAATATATAATATAAAGAAGAAAGAGAAGAAAAAACATATAATATAAAGAACAAAGAGAGGAAGGAAAGAAAAAGAGAGGGAGAAAAATGAAGGAGAAAAGAAGAAAGGGAAGATGAAATGACATGTGAGTAAATATGTATATTCGATGATATCACCGGTCTGACCCGTCAGTCAGACCGGTTGGACCGCCCAGACCAGAAACCGGTCACTTGACTGAGTCACCTTCCAGTCCGGGTTTCGGAACATTGATCTCATCTCCACAAACCATTTATAAACTAAATTCCTCAATTTAAATTAATCATAACTCCAATTACAAATTACGAACTCCGTCAAATCTGGGGCATTTTATTAAAAGGTCAAATCAAGTTCAAATTTAATTAAAAAGCCATGTATTTTGAAAGTGTTAAGTAAATAATCTTATTATTGATTAAGGTTAATTAAACATGATTAGTGATTATTTATGATTAATAAAGTATTGTGTAATCTTTTAAAAATTATAATATGTCCCCAAAGAGCCGAAATTCTTGTAAACAAACCCAAACACCTTT